TTTTGCTAACCCCATGCACGTAATTGCACACACGCATCTAATATGATGCCGTTATTGCATGCATTCATATTTCAGCGTACGTACGCAGAGAGACAACAAATACTTGGCAATATCGTTAGACGCAACGAAAATCTATAGTCAATGTTATCCAAACAATTCTAACAGTTTCAGCCCAAACAGAAACCGAACTGCATCTGGCAGATTAACAACAAACTCTCTTGAAATTGTATATAACATACATACATATGCAGTCATTTGTCTATTTAATGTTACGCCTTTCCACTGTAGACCATTTTGTAAATTAATTATGCAGGAATTTAGCATTCGAACTTGTATTCTCAGATCAGATCTAAATAAATGTTTAAAAAAAAGAATGCTTGCAAGCAAGAGAACGCATACTTTGTATAGAAAAAAGTTAATTGTCAAAAACGAAAACACGGTATATTTTAGAGGACTTGTGGAGAACTGAACATTATCCGAAAGCCGTTTATCTTTTATAAAGTTCTTGATTAACTTGCGCAATCTGTGTGAATGCATCTATTTTTGAACTACTTAGGACTCGTCATCGTTCATCTTTACATATAAAAAAGTACAATAACAACAACAAATTATATTTGGTTGAGGAGGTAGAGAGTAGTTAGTTCAACGATTTTTTTCGATCAATAGATCGGTCTTCGAAGACATAGGCGAATAGTTAAGAAGTAATAGAAGTATATAAAGCATACTCTGAATAACTGTGAATTATGCTGCAGTTGCTTGTTTATTAGCCCAATTTTTTGCGAAATTTCATTAACTATAAATTAAAGAGTATCACATCTCCAGATTGTGTCGACAGTCATCTAGTTAGATTAACGCTCTTGACGGCCGTAAAAATCATGAACACAACCTGCACAACCCCTGTAGCGCGGACCTCTACAAGTTGTAAAGCATATTGGCCGTTGATAATCTGCGTTTTATAGATTTTTATAATGCAGGGTTTCGTCATATCCGCAATAATTATTATAATAGCTGTGACAACTAACTACTATTACTCATCGTAGGCACCCAAGCCAAAATGGTTGGAAAGCAACTTCCAACCGAGTAATGAAAATATTAGATCGAAAAAAAGACTTCGGAAAGGAATCGGTTTCTGCTTTATCGCCCAAGCAGGCAGAATGGTTTCAACTTTTATTGACTTAAGTGGCTCTCACTGCTGGCACTCAGTTTAAGTTGTTTCGGTGTAAGGGAAATTTTCATTGGTTAAATCAAGAAAACCACCAGCACTAAGATAGATGTAGAAAAAGTAATAGATTAGAATATTTCGCTTATTTATTTCATATAACATTTTTTTTATACTTTCTGCACAAATACACAGACACACACACATACTCCCGCCCACTTGACAATAATTAAAAATCAATTGAAACGCGTTTGCTTATGTTTATTTATTTATTTTATGTTTTTATTGTTTTGCTTTATCGTTCGTTCATTTGTTATAATTAATGTTTAATAGTTTAATAAACGTTCAGATTTTTATATATATCTATATGTGTATAAAGTTATTGATATTATCTTTATTTGCATTTTTCAAATTTATTGTCCTGTATTTCATTATAAGTTAACATATAACATATTATTATTATTATTATTCTTATTATTATTGTTATCATTATTAATATTATTTTTTGCGGTTTTTTTGTTTTCGTTTTAATGTTTCTGTTTATTCTTAGCGGTTTTTAAACATAACGTGTATTATGTACTATACTATGCGCGTTCGCTTTATTTAGTATGGGTGAGAGTGTATGTAAGTATGTATTTATTTATGTATGTATTTATATATGCATGCATGCTTGTGTATTTTTTTGCTCTATACATGGCTGCTTTTATTCACAAGAGTATTAATGTATTTATTGTACAGATCGTTTCATTTATTTTAGAATCCAATCATATATAGTTTTTGTTTTCACATTTTTCATATCATTCCCCTCAACAAAACTAAAATCATTTACAGTAATTTGGAGAATAAATTAAAAACAAACCAAGAACGGATTACTATAATATAAAAGGAAGATCAAATCAACTGGCATTGATACCCTATATACTATGTATACAATGTTGGTTATCTTAAGGCAAGTACCTTGAAGCCTGAAAATCTTAAGAGTTACAATGGAATTTAAAACACACATAGATTGTATTATGTTATTCGTGCCGATATTTTTGATTTCTTAATCCTAGTCCTACCACGTGGTTTTGTTATGAATCCCATCACAACGCGGCTCTTAGCCAATTACCAGAATTATGGGAACATTTTGTGTTGTGAAACACTATGTGTTTGTGTGACACTCACTTGTCCGCTTAGGGCTACGTAAAGCTAAGCATTTCGACCAATATACTCTCCAAGCTATATCGCAAGCTTGATAATTTCTGAATCTTTTTGGAAAACCATCTTAAAAATATGACAAGAAGCAAGTCTCGTAACAAAAATGTACCAAGTTTCAGATTATCTGTGTCAACGTCGATCTCGAGGGTTTGAAGTAAAGAGACCGAAGTTTAACTTTGTCATGAGAATATATTTTCTTCAACATAGGAACCGTGGACCACTTTTGAGCAATTTATTATTTCTGTCGGAGCAGCTCCTTCCATTTCTGATTGATTGAAATTACGCATACAAGCTTTAGAAACAGCCTCATTGCTTTCCAGTGTGAACGCGTTCATAATCGATGAATTAAATATTGAGGAATTAAATATTGCGTCTAACTATTCATATTTCTATGCCGGACAGCAATAAATTTCAACGAGTGGAAAGTTTATGTTCGTTTATGGCCGAATCTTTTACATACGCGACCTTTGCCTTAGAAAAGACTAAAAGAACGAACATAAATAAATTTTTGTGCTTTGCAATGTTGGGTGGGCGTGGTTGATTTTTTCCTTATGTGTGGGATACACTTTGAAATTTTTGTCGAACTTCTGTTGTAATTTACGAGTACCGAGCAACAGATGACAAAACGAGGCGGTTTCAGCCTATGTTCCAATTTTCCAATATCATCAGGACAGGCGGACAAATTTGATACTGGTTAAGAATATGTATATTTTAAGGCGTCTCGTCTAGACAAAGATTTTGATAAAATCCAGAAATTTTTAAAAACTGCAATATTGGGAGGGCGTGAATGTATAGATATCACACGATCGTCCACCCAAAATTTTTACCGTTTTTTTCCCCCCACCTTATGATTAGGGACCAAAAAGACCCAATACAGAGGTATTCTTCATTTTTGCGGTACAACCGGTGTGCCTCTTGACTGATTTGGACAATTTTCATTATAAAATTGATGTCAAATTTGAAGTCAATAGGTTCATTTTTGCTATCATAGGAGCGCATGGGACAAACTGAGAGAGAGACATGCTTTGATCGGTTCAGATTTTTATCCTGATCAAGAATATACATTTATGGGGTCTTTGACGCGTCCTTCTGGGTGTTGCGAATGTTTCGAATATAACTTATCCTTCTGCAATTGATATAAAACCGGATCAGTGAATAATTACTAAATGAAATTCGAGAGAGATAGAGATAAAGAGATAGAGAGAGAGAGAGAGAGAGTAAGAAAGAAAGAAAGAGAGAGAGTGAGAGAGAGAGAAGGGGAGAGCGTGAGAAAGAATGATGGAAATGCAAACAACCCGGCAATGGCCAACAAGAATGTAAAAGACTCTTGAAGATCACTACTTAACACGATTTCCACGATATTAAAACTAGCATAAAAATCAATAATTAAGCAGCGCTTGATTCTCACGTCACGTTCCTTATAAAACATCAGGCTTTAAAAGGCGTAACGGCTTTTTATATATTTTTCGGGAAATACTACCTTTCTATTGATAACCACATTTTTAAGCAAATAATCCGCAAGACATTTTTTAGATAGTGTTTTCGTCAGCTGTGATTTCGCAACCTTATTTTGTAACAGAGATGATATTGAAGTGTTTCGTCATATTGAAACAAAGCCAGAAAAACCCATAACAAGAAAATAACATTGTTTTCTCTTATGATTACTGAACAGCCACCGCGCCACAATAGATCCCGAAGTAGAAATCTGGCCTGATATACGATGTGCATAGTTCGACATATAAGCGAATGGAACATGAAAGGAAATTACAAGCTGTAGTCCTTTGCAAGTGGCTTTCTTTTTCAAGTGACTGGTGAGTAGTTCATTACTGCCGTAAGGCATTAGCCAACCCGTGTGCATTATTGTCCGCTAATGCAAACACAGTTTCTAGTTTAAATCAAATCTGAAATATCGTCAATTAGAGCGTTTTATTGATTACTAGTTCATTGACTCATCATTGCTACATCCGCGACCAATGGCTATCGCTACGCATAATTTTTGCTAAATCAACAATTTGTTCCTCGTACTGAGAATACATGTGAAAACACAAAACTCTAACAAAAAATACAAAAACTTTATATTATATAAAAATAACAACCGTATTAATAATTACAGCAACAAAAATTAATAAAAGCGAAGCAACAAAAATTTTCAAATTCGCATAAATTACAAGAGCTCTCCTGCAAAAAGCATAAGAAAAAAATTGTTGGTAATATGTTTTGATGATTGTGGAGAGATGACGTCCTTCCATGAGTGTTTACGTTAATATGTTTTTGTTTTAGATTTTTTTTGTTTGCTTTGTTTTTTGCATTTATGCAGCATTTAAATGCCATTCAATTACAATTGTTCGTAAGGAATTTATTTAATTTTTTTAACAATTAATTTATTCAAATATTTAATTACATACATACATGGAAACTTTTATTTATTTATTTATTTCTTAGTAATATATCATACAGATAAATCTGTTGAATATAATTTTTAAAAAAGCGCCTGATACTTGAACCATATTGCGCTCAAATTACAATATGAAAATTATTATTTTATATATCTTTATATATATATATATATATATATATTTTTTTTTTTTTTTTTTTTATTAATATATTGTTTAAAATGGTTTGTTGTTATTTGTTTATATTTTTTTTAATTTTTTTTTTTTCAAGTTAATTCATTAAATTCGTTATTCTGGGAAAGTTATCTAAATAGTTATTAATAAATATTTGTATTTTATATTCGTGTTTACAAGCATGCATATGTTGGAATATTTATAAATATTTATATATATGCAAAATTATAAACGTTTTCAAATCGATAAAAATTTGTGATCTTATAATATTTTGCTTTTGAAAATCATATAAATCAGTATTCGTTTCTCATAAGCTTTCACAGCTTTTTTTACTTCAAGCATTCATGAATGCATATATTTATAATTGCTGAATCACCACATACTCGGTAAGCTTGATAGAAATACAGTTGGAATTAATCGTAAATCTAAATTAGAGTCAGTCGATCTCTCTCATTAAAATCTTAAGTGATATATAACAGAGGGTTAATGAAGAGAAATTTTTCAATTTTAACTTCTACTCAACACTTTATTGATTAGGTTTAAATATAATATATGACGCAACACGAAATATAATTTATCATGAACTTGCAACCATCGCCCAATCTTTGACTAGGAATCATTAGTGCTTTCGAGGTCATAGAGAAAAGCGAATTTAGTTTAAAGGAATGTGGCTGAGAACGTCGCATACCTGTAAACTGTAACTATAAAGTTGGGAAACACAGGTCATATGTATTCGCAAGGAACCGCATGAAATTCTATCGAAACTTAGATTTAATTTTATTTGAATTAATTCGTTTGTTCTCCGATACTATACACCAGTTGCTATATAAGGATATAATAATTTTGTGCTAACGTATGCAACACTCAGAGAGATTTAGAATAGAACCACTTTTTATTATGCCGATAGATTGAGAAGGCCATCCTGAATATAACATTGTCTGTCCGTCTTTATGTCTTGTGTTTTTATGTCCAAAGTACACCACGCGATTTTGGATATATTTTGATAACATTTGGTACACTGATATGTTTTGGCCGAAGGACAACCGCTATTGAAAAAGTCTTGTATTGGATCGGATTTCGATCACTTTTTATGTAACGCCTTGGTCTAAAAAAGCCGTGAACGTTAATAGCATTTTTACTCGTTTTTAATCTGAAAATGGTTGATAACAAAACGACTCACTCATCTGTATTCAACCTATAAAACTTTTCGCCAAGTAACACATGACACAATATGGATTACATTAAATGTCGTCACTGAAATCCTAAAATCATGTCTGTTCGTCAATCATCATTCCACACTCATACGTCATCCTACGGAGTATTTGACTGACTTAATACGTGTGCCTAGAAACAGTTTTTGCAATTATTTAATTGGAGAGTGCGAGCGTGTGTGCATCTGTAAGAGTAAGTAAATTGTGTAGAAGAATATAATATTACTTTAAATTACTCGTGTAAATTACATCCATGCTAAAGAATGACGAATATGAAAACGACCATTTGTTCGATTGAGATGAATAGCATTTCGTACAAAGGAGAAAAGTCGATGTAGTCATAGAAGACATAATGAGAAAAATCCTGAAAATAGGTTAATACTCAAAGTTTCATTTGAGAAAACTAAGACAAGACGAGATGGATGGATGCCTGGACGATGGTTTATTCATTTTATGTCATTCACAGCCAATGTTCACTTCTATTCAAAGTAGTGGAAATAAAGGAAAGATTTTAACCGCCGTAAACAACTGCTAATAGTTACAATCGTTACGTAATGCATTAAAATCTTTAACTGATTTAGTGTCCGTAAGGTCCTTTAGAGTTTTTATTTAAATCCTGTTTGTGTTTTGTTAGAAAAATGCCTGATTGTGGTGTTCAATCAAACTGTGAGTTAAACTGGAAAACCTCTCGTAAATTATAGCCGATTATTTTGTTGTGGCCGTTGTGTTCATACGATGTTTTTATAAACAAACCTACGCATTTATGTTTGGCTTAATTTTTAACCATATTTGATATACGATACTCTGTACGTACGTCCGATTTTGTGTGTGTGGTTCCCTGTTTTTTTATTACTTGTGTTTGCATTTGTTTTTCGACTCGTTTTGTTTCATTGTAAACGGTGTGCAAGCGTTTTAACCAAATAATGGAGAACGCAGGCAAACATACAAATATACATTTGTGCGCACAATAAGAGCCAGTTAATTGACCAAAGAATATTTATTACAACCGCAATGGTTCGAATGACACCGACAAACAAAAAGGCAACAACAATAACAGTAACAAAAACAATAACAACAAAACAACAAATTTCAATGCACATACGTATATGCGCATACATCGTATACGGATCTGTAAAAGCATGTAAATTACGCTATAGTGATTATGGTAATATCTACATGTGTACACATGCAGGCATGAATTCCTACACTCTGCCGTATAGACAAAAAAAAAAAAAAAGAAAAAAAAAAGAAATTCTGCGCAAACATCTCCTGCAGATTATCTGACCATTTTAAATGTAACGTTTGTATAAGCAAATGATATTTAGTGCTTTAAACCATGTCCTTTGCATGCTACTTTTCTATTAACATGTGACATCACATATACGCACTGCCCGAAACATAACCAAACAAATATGCATAATTATGCACTAAGCAGAATGCAAACATAAAACTAAATATGGATTTACATATGTTCAGTTTCTTATATTACACGAATAATCGTTGGCTAGCCTTGCATTTGTCCATTGTTGCTCATACCAATACCACAAAATACCAAAATTGTGAACGCATATATTATGTACAAACGAACGTTCGTACATCAATGTCTCAGAGATGTACGAATTTTGACCGTTCTTTTTTTTTACATCTTCAGTGAGTTCTACCTTTAAAATCTTCTTTACGCCGTCTAAGCCATAGTTCATTGAACTAAAAATGTTTTGTCTAAAAATATTTAATTTGCTCACCTACCTACGTACTTTCGCAAATAGGTCACCGACACAAATGTATGTCCAAGATGCTTGTGCTTGTGGCTATTTTTTAGTAATTTTTTTACACGAATCAAGTATGCTTTCCAATGTTATCTATTAAAGTTGATATTAGCTGTATGTCTTAATTTTGACTTTATGCCACAACTGTTGGGACCTTTGTAATTGCAAAACAAATCAAAGGTTAATTTTCGACAAAGCCGCCGATTAAAGCCCTTATACTACATCGCCCATTAGGTATGATTACTTCACCTATAAGATTTCTTCATTTATTTTGCTCAAATTATTTGCAAATTATCAAAGAGTATTTCTTTTTTCCATTTAAAAGCAAGCTTTTCATGGGAGCTCTTTCAAGGAAAAAGGCACAAAACGTGAACTGGCCCGGTTCACGAATAGCAAAATACATATTTTTATTAACGGGCGTATAGCTCTGCACCTATTTTCGTCATAAAGTACTGAAGATACGTGTTTTTTTTCATTTGAAGGCTTACCTTTCATGAGATATGATTCAAAAAAATCCGGGCTCGGTAGTTCACATTTGGTGTAGTTAGTTTTTATGTCAAACTATTATTGTGAACTAATTTTCATCATGAAATAATGAACATCCAGCTTAGTTGCCGTATAAAAGTTTAATTTTTCTTGAAACGGGTATATCGGAGGTACCATCTCGTCAAAATTTTTCACATTTATTTTATATGCCAAAATAATATCTTCGGCCGATTTTTATTATGGTAATTTGTTGGACATTTGATTTTTGGATGCACCTTCCAACATGAAGAGCGTACGTTTATATGGCAACAAGCACGGGTATGGTTAAAACCTTGATATTTTGAGACGAAAACACTGGCTTATGGTATATAATGGTTGGTCTTGCCCGGCCATAAAATATTTATTTGATTTCGCTTTTGTGTTCAAAAGCAATGCGGAACTAAAATCAATTTGAATCTGTTATGAATTGACAGTTTACTTGCCTGGCAATATTAATCTGGTTTAAATAAATGACAAAAATACCCGATTCAACCGCAATGCTATCAGAATCGGATGTTATTTAAATATTGATTATAATTCCCGTATCTTCTTTATTGAAAGTTCAAAAGGAATTACGGAAATAAGTTTTTTATTCAACGTACGCTGTTGTAATTGCCTGTAATAGTGCAATAAATTAAAAAGAGCAAAACGTCTGGTTACTCCTTGGATGAGAATTGAGATGATGCAGTAATACTTTCAACGCCAATAAAAGAGCATTTAAAAATGACACGAACGAAAAATAAAAATTATAGAAACTATAGCGCTGTTCAATAGCACGTGTTCGTTTGGTAAATTTAAGGCCACTTATCGTTGAGAGATACGGCTGATGCTACAATCACAGCTGGTAGTGAGGAAAAATCAGCAAGAATTAAAGTTCTCATCGCTAAGGTAGGAAATGCCATCGATTTTCAGTTGAGAGGGTCAGTCTGGATGACGATGTTACACTGGCCTGGGTGAGCTTGTGACTGTGTTTTCTTGTCATAGTTTTTATTAACTTGTGTCAAACGTGGCTCTCCAAAGCAACAGCCACAAGAAAAGAAAAAGCGCTTGTGGCTGCTTGTGATTTCTGACCCTACTGTGATGTCGCTTAGAATACTGCTGTAAAAGAATAGTAAACTCAACTTATTGGGGAGCCAGCGATATAAATAGTTCTCCTCCTAGAAAGAAAAGCAAAGGGTAGGGAGACAAATGAATAAAATAGAACGGAAAATTTAATGAAATTAAGTTACGTTTATTAACGTTTTATATATTAATGTCGCGTTCACATGTTGCATTCAAAGCAAAATTAAATGAAGCAACAAAATCCTTTTCTATGCAATATTGCGAGGAAAAGCTTTACATCTGGATTATCAACAAAATTAGGTATATTTGTATCGGTATATGCAATTGTGCCGAGTAACTGACGGTAACTTTTGCCTGAGGGAAAAAGGAATTTTCTCGCAATTCAATCTGTTTGCTGTTTTTATTTCCGTTATGATATCACTATTCCAAAGACATGCCAATAACAAGATGGTTTCTTATCTGAAACATTCTTACGCTTTTCTTTTGACGTATAATAAAAGAGCTTAGAATTTCTAATTGAAGCCGAAGTCAGTAACATTTTCGTTGAATAAAGTTAATACCGCCTGTGTAGTATGGGTAACGTACTATACAATTATTATATTAAGGCTGTGAGAATGGTTTTTAACTTTTCTGAGAACATATTGATTAGTTATATGTATCCTATTTAAGCAAATCCTTAAGGAAAAAGCGTTTTTCACATAAGCTATCGAAAGTAATTCAAAAAGCATGCAAGAGCCGCCTTAAGTAGTATTGTTCGTCTTAATTTATTGTTGCGGTTGAATGATATATTCAACAAGAATAATGAAAGTTGCAATAAGAGGCAACAGCAACAATAACGACATTATGAATAACTACCACAAGTGTTCATATGAATGAATGGAATGGAAAAAGAAATGAGAAAGCAACTTTTACTTCTGCGCTGGTACCAGTTCCTACCATTTCGTTATGTGTCAATGTTTGGTGCTTAAATGGTGGCACTGGTGCTGTTGCTTTTACTGTCGTCAAAATGACAGTCGTCGACACAATTTCGCTATGTCGTGTCGGACCAACTCGACGAAATGCTTTACAACGCACAAACATAATTGCGCTTTTAAGTAGGTTTTCGTTGTTGTTGCTTCTGTTGTTTTCTTTTTTTTTGCGTTGTTTTGTTTGTTTTACAAAGTACCGCAAATCGTTCCTCAACTTTTCTTTTTTATTTTTTTCTTAATGTACGTACACAAACTTCTACATATATATATATATATATATATATATATATATCCTTCACTTTCATTATTTCAAATACAAAATGACTGACAAAACTGACTGTCCTCCATCCGCTTTATAACACTGCACTCAACCAACTGCTCGTCCGCCTTCTTCACAGTAGAAAATTATCATTTTCCATTTCGTTTTTGTTGTCCCTTTCGCAGTAAAGCATTCGTTCGCACATTTGTTCATAAGGGTATGCCTGCATTGCCTGGTGTGAGAGGGTGCAGACAGCATTAGCAGCTGGAGCTGTTTGTTTGAGGTATTCATTTGTAAATTGTTGCAATTAATTTCACTGACTGACAATCCTCCGGCAAAATTATGCTGAATAATAATAATAATAATAATAATGTAAAGTACGGTACGCTACGGTACGATTCCTAACGTATATTATATGTATGCATACGCACATGTGTGTGCTATATATACATTTTATTATATACATTGCATACGGTTTATAGATATGTTCTCATTTGCTACCACATGTAGCCTTGTACCATGGTATTTAGTATGAGTTATGTTCAATTTTGTTTAAATTAAGTAAAAACGGAATGATTTAAAATTTTTCGCTTTAATTTGACCTTAAATTAATTGATGCGCATATGTTGGCGTTTAGATAAAATTACAAAGCTATAGATAAATATTTATATTCACTCGTATATATGTAAAGAGTTTATGAACATATACGAATATACACGTAATGGCATTCAGAATGTGTAACGAGGACAAGCCATACTTTAAACTATTAATCATGCAATTAAAAAAGACTAACAATATAAACGAAAGCTTTTTAAATAATTATCGAGTAGTTGTCACTTTACAGTTATTTCAGTTCATTTTGAGGACATGTGATATTTAGCCATTGCATTTTCCGTATGTCATTCTGGCTGTTCTGCATTTACTTAAACTACCCGAAAAGTATTTTGGATTAACCTGCAAAACAAATGTGGATGAATTTGTTATTAATTAATTCAAGCGCAAAAGCAGGAGAACGTTGTACGAATATTACAGTTTTACGTCTCCATATACATTTTTATTCGCCAGACTGCTCAGTACATTCCACCATGTTTACCCGTTTTTGATTTGGGACACTAGGAAGGCAAGAATTAACTTTATAAACAATATTGGGGATAAAATTTTAAAAACATCACGATGTTTTCTTCAAAAATCTATAACTGGTATTAAGTCGAATGCGCCTAAATTTTTAATTGTTGAGATTTACTTGCAAGTCCAAAATGAAAGTGGTCTCGATCGGCCATCAATTAACAAACGTGGTGTTGAAGTAAGTATCCAATAGTATTTTCGAAGTGTACTCAATTTTTACCGTATATTTCGACCATATTCCATTACGCCAAGACCAAGAGCAATGAAGAGATAGCGAGTCCCATTTTTTGTCTTTGTAAAGATTCAATGGTTATATGCATATCCATCCGGTGGATGGACAATCTATCTCTTATGTAGCTCAAACCAATTTGGGGTAAACATATGTTTCCATAAATTTTTACAACCCCCCGTAGGAAAGCGTACGACTTATTGAATGCTCGTATATTCTCTTTTAGGAAAACGTAAGATTTATGAAATATTGATAAAGTGGGGTGGGGACCGCGGAAGTTTTTGCTTGTCATCAAATGTCTGCTCGTCCGTTTATTGAGATTATGGTCACAAACTTAAAAAAGAAGGAAACTGAAAAGACATCCTTGTTCCTAAATTTTCTCTGCTAACATTTATCAGAGCAAATTCGCGACAATCGACTAAGCTGATGTTTCGAGTTGTTAAGTTCCTTCTGCTAAAAACCCAATCATAGTCTTTCAAAAGTTTTGTTTGCGTTGGGAATTAAAGAAATATTCGAACAGGGACTCCCAACCATGTTATGTTGCATTGTTTTATGATTTTAAAAGAGAAAAGAAAAATTCTAATGCATCAGTGAACTACATTCCTCAGCCTCGTACGTTAAAGCAAATAATCTGGTATCCTTAGCGCACATGTATTTGCAGAATGTTTCGCTTAAAAGATATGCTATTAGTAAACGCTTACCCTTAGACAAAATTAATGACCTTAAACACTCCTTATTTGCTGCAGATAATTACTCAATTTCCGCAACCAAGTTGATATGTTGTTTATGTTTATGAAGAGAGCTTCCCCTTCATCGTTTTTATTTTTTTATTTATTTTTTTTTGAATAAATATGAAAATGAAAATTACAGCGAAGGGTTTCATTCCACAAGGCGATTATTTAGGGGCTGTAGGAAAATTTATGAGTTTGCGTCGCAGGAGTAAATAAAAGATATTAACACATCTTTGCTATAAGGTTGCCTATAAATTAAGAGTAACAAAAAAAAATGTGCTGTGAAAGTGGCATTTCATCCTCCTTGAGCAACATCCTTTGAGAAAGGTTGAATGATGATATGGGAGAAAGAGGAAATTCCCGCATTTCAGAGGCAAGTTTGTTATCTATGCAGCAATTAAGACTGCAACATCATTGCAAAATTTGGCTACAACTTTCTATTTTCAATTAAAGGCTTGAGAACTTCAAACCTATGCAAACAATAATGGAAGTCGCCACATTAATTGCTTTAATTTTGGTAGACAATGAGTTCCTTTCATCTTATCTCTGTACACATTAGGTCAATAACATAACTGCACTACACTTTCCCGAGCCTAACGTAGGACCGAATTTCACTTGTCTTACACTACCTTTATAATTTAAATACTAAACGATTGCAAGTAAAATTTCTTGTATAAAAATAAAATTCTTCAAATAGTTCTTTGGACGCTCGTTATCGCGGCAGAGTATTCGCCAGTTGACTGGAACGAGTTTTTAGGGATTATAAACAGGATGCTGAGCTAAAAATCCCATAATGGGCTTTGTAACGCCGTAGACCACAGTCAGACCATCTATGATTGGCCCCATTCACAGGAGCTTATATCCAATATTGCACTGATCATCTCGCGTGTGTAGAGGTAGAGAAAAATCGAGCCAGCTATCTAAGCCTTAGCCGAAATGAAGGCTGATGAAAATGTCTACTCATCGACTTTTTGTGTACACAAGCAAACCGTGTGAGAGCGTAGTTGCGTGAACTCCAATTACAATTAAAAAATTCCCGTGAAAATACAAAGGAAGGGCTAACAACGTACATTAATCTTAGATTAAAAAACTGCAAACTCAATTAGTAAAGAAAATCGATTGTTGCATTGAGGGATCTTAATTTCATGGAGTAACTTTTCATAGAGAAACGCTTGATAAGATTTCTTCATAGTCAAATTTCTTTTTCAATAAAATGCTCATATAGTCCAGCTACTCGACTCATATTAGTAAGCTTGGGCAGTTATGTCCTGAAATTTATAAAAATGTACAACTTTTTCAATGAAAGCAACAACTTTCATCGAAAGTAAAAACAATTGTCTTTAGTCTTTTCAACATTTCAAGCATATTTGTTGATCTTTTGACTGTTTTGTGCTCGATTAAACATATATTTAATTTGCATAGAATGAGGAGAATAGTATGCGTCGTCACTCAGCAATTTACACGTGTCCCTTTATTTAGAGCAAAGCTTGAAGGTAGTGAATAGGTTAATTTCAAAGTTGTTGACGATTACTTGCCACAAGCACTTTATTTGACCTAATAAAAATGGATTAATGAAAAATTAATGCAAAAAAAAGTTTTACGATTATCCCAAAATTCACTGTAGTCCATCTATGTCCGATTTTGATAAAAAAAAAGAGTTTATTTAATAGGGGTAAAAATTGGTCAGTTGCTTTTCAAGAGTTTTGTGAAATCTGACTTCAATTAACTTCTTAGGCGTTTTCTTATAGCAGCAGCGTAGGGCATTTTGAAGATTCGTCATCTTTTCCTTAACTTTTTATCTTCACATGCTCTAGATCTATATGAAGCTTATTGCCTTTCTCCGCTTTCTGTGCTGCTCACATCTTATTTTTCGTCCGATTTGCTTCTTTACAATAAAATAAATAAAATATGCCTATAATTTATGTACCTAAGAGTAAATGTGTGTGTGTGTATGTGTGTTTATGTGGGTGTATGATGTGCTATTGATAGTGACAACTGTATCGGAAGACATATTTATACATATTAGTGATATGTACATATTTATAATATATAATAATTTCATTGCATTTGAATGTGTGTGCATCTGTTCAATTATTATTTTATATAGAGTATTGAGTGTGCACATGGAAAAGTTATTTATGTAGTAAAATGATACCATAAACATTTTTATGCATGAATGTAACCATATTGATACGCAAGTATTCATATATGTTAACGTTACGCACTTGAATGCTTAACAATGCAATCATAATGACATGTAGATATATTTAATTATATATAGATATGCATATTTGTACGTTTGTGCTTGTGTGCCTGTACGCAATGTCATTTAATTATTAAACAGATATGTACTAACATTTGTACATGTATGTTTGCAAAGAATAAATACACAAACACCCAAATACAAAAAGATACGCACAAACACACACACATACACATACACACACACACGCATACAGTTATACTCGCATACATTCATTTCGACTTAAAATTTATCACATTAAGTAATTCATTTTCAATAATTGAGATGAATTAATATTTGTTTGTGTATATGAGTGATTGTTGAATGTTTTATTGCGTTTTGTGTGCACATATGATTTTTTTATGTAATATAAATGATATATATCTATATATGTGAATACAATTACCTAAAACACTTACATATACAGGTTATAAACAAATTATATTTATCTTAAAGATTTTATTTTATACATACATGATATGAGTAGATTTTCATCTTTTCTTTTCTTGTATCTTTTTTGTGTTATTTTTTTTTTTTGGCTTTTCTTCAATTAATTTTCCTAACTGAATGTTTTTCGAAAAATTTATAAATATCTTAACATATGTATATATATAT